GGACCGGTCCCCCCGGTGCCCCCCCCCCGCTCCTGCAGCAGCACGTGCCCGGCCGGAGCGGCCGGGGGGCCGACGCGGAGCAGAGCCGGTCCCCAGTGCCCCCACCACGGCACCAGGACGGGACGCAGCCGGGGCCGCTCCGGGTACGGCCCTCGGGGCCGACACAGTCCTCCGCCGTTCCAACGCCCGCGCCGCTTGTGCCGGTCTCCGCTGCCAAACCTCAGCGTGATTAGAAACCCATTGATTCCTCCCGATCAGGCGTAATTAGACGTATTCTTCACCGTGCGGTCAGTTATCTTCCCAGTAATTTGTAAAGGCAGCAATCTCCGTTGTGCAAATGAAGAGCATCGCCGTTACTCCACAGCAGACGCCCCGCACTCCTTCCCACGGGAAAAGAAATAGGTTGCTTCCCCCCCCCAAAAAAAACCCAACACCCCTTTCCCGGGTCACACTGAGCTTTTTCCTTTACTATCCAGCTTGAGGCCGGCTTCGGACTGCTTGCTCATTTGCTCCTCCGTGAAAGTGATGTAGGAATACACCAGGCTTCCAGCGATGCTGCAAAACAGGGGCGGGCAGGAGAATGAGACATCCCCGGCACAGGAGCCGCGGCGCGCTCCGGGCACACTCCGGCACATTCCGGCACGCTCACACTCCGGCACCGCGCAACGCAAACCCGCCGTGCTAAAATACCAGTGAAATAAACCCCCCAAAATTACTTCTTTTGCTGCCTTCGTTATATGATTGGGATACACAGCTCTGAGAACAACTGAGGTTTGCTGCTAAAACGCGCTTCTCCCGCCTTTAAAACCACCCCAGTCAGCCCAGGAGCTCCCCACAGCCTGAACTGGATGCAGGGAGCGAGTGGCTGCAGCATGAGGAGACATTCCCAAACCCACCTGGACCAATTCCATAGAGATCATAATTTTTTTTTTTTTTTTTGAAAGAAGCATTTAGCCAGTCAAACCGTCTCGGTTTCACGGCAAATTTTCACTCGCAAAGCGTTAACTAAGAGCTGCCGGCGCCCCCATGTTCTTACCTGATATTTAGACCGATGAAATTCGTCCATGTAAAAATATAGTCTCCTCCGAAAAACATCCCAATATAGGTTATTAAAATATTCTGCAAAGGGACAAGATTCGAGGAACAAGAGCGTAAGTGTCTATATAGCCCGAGACAACATCGCCGTATGCGTTAAAGACGGAAACCCGGGACGCAGAGAGCGTGTGGCAGTGCTGGACTGACGGTGGGGGGGTTCAGAGCTGCCGAAAAATGCTCCTGGATGGAGACTTTGGTTCCTGAGGCCGGGGGGGACAGTGCCGCCGGGGGCTGCGGTGCTCTCCCACACCTCAAGACCGGCACTAAACCCACAATAACGCCTGGGAGAGCCCGTCTGGGTTTTTTGCAACGGGATTGTTGGGCGGAGGTGACCCAGAGGATCGCGGCTGTTTCTGGGTGTTTTGCACATCATTGGCCCCGGGGATGCTAAAGGCACGGATGGCAGTCACTGCCACGCACGGCACACAGCGTACGAGGGACACGGAGCTGTTGGAGCGGGGCCAGAGGAGGCCCCGGAGATGCTGGGAGGGCTGGAGCCCCTCTGCTGGGAGGACAGGCTGGGAGAGTTGGGGGGGTTCAGCCTGGAGAAGAGAAGGCCAAAAAGGGGAGACCTTATTGTGGCCTTTCAGTCCCTAAATGGGGCTTATAAGGAAGACGGGGACAGGCTTTTTAGCAGAGCCTGATGTGATAGGATAAGGGGGAACAGTTTTAAACTGAAAGAGGGGAGGTTTAGACTAGATATTAGGAGGAAATTCTCTCCTGTGAGGGTGGTAAAACCCTGTCCCAGGTTGCCCAGAGAGGTGG